AACCTCTCTCACCTGAGACATCAAAAGAACATAAATGCAACCATTTGCTATTATAATAACAGTACTTTTTAATGCTATGATTATAGGTGGCATGGCAATTCAACAAGGATGTGTTTGGTATGCAAGATAATATTAGATTGAACATGATGAACTATGTTGTATAGTATTTAGTGCATCCATTAGATATGATGAGATAAAACTATAACTTATTTAGTATAATTTTGGGCATGGCAATAATATTTGGTAATGCAAGATAATATTATATTGAACGTGACAAAATATGTTATATAATATTTGCTGCAAACATTAGATATGATAAGATAAATTGTACTGTGTTTAGTATATATTTTAGACAGAACAATGATTAATCTTTGTTCTGTCTAAAAATATTCGAAAAGTTAAATTCTTATTTCATTATTGAGTGGAACAACTTTGTCTAATACCATAAACAAAATCATTATTTCTCAATTTTTTTATATTATTTACTATCTATTTATTACTCATTTATTTTTTTAATTTGGTTGATTAAAATTTGAGTAGATTTACATATATTTTATTAAAAATGAATTATTAATATGTAAGGGCTTAATTGTGAATAAATTTCTAATTCAAGAACTAAGTTGCATATATTAAAATGATCCATCCTTGTCCAACTCTAAATGCGCCACACACTTGTCCAGTCCAGTTCAGTCTAATCTCATCTATCGTCCAGTCTAGTTTAATTCTACATGATTCAATCCAGTCCAATTTTAGATATCACATTTTATTCAGCATACCAAACACGCCCTAAGTATTATCAATGCACCCATAACCCCACTTCATTCAAGCACCGCAAAACTTAGCCCTAACGATTGAGTCATTGTAAATCAATTTAACGAGTGACCCTAAAAAAATTATTTTGTAAAAATGAAATATTATTAAATGTTATCTGTTTTTTTTAATTATTAAAAACAAAATTTAATATCGATTAATATATAAATTATTAAAAAAAGAATGAAAAAAAAAACAATCACATAACATAAAAGATTTTATGTGGTTTGACAATGATGCATACTCCACAAATATATTAGAATTTCTTATTAAATTTTGTTCAGTGCGATAATTACAAATATAAACGATGTTGCATTTATATATTACGTGAACAACTAAAATTATATTAAAAAAACATCTAACGGACCAATGCACCTAATCTAAAATTATGTAGACTTTTCAAGAGTTTCGTCCTCGACCCTTCGTAAGAAATGCTGCCTTCTTTACTCTTGCTCGCTAACCAATTAGCAAGACCATCGTGATAGCTTTGCATAGTGCTTTATACTCGAAGGTTCATATTTACATTAATCTTCATACTTTAACGAAATTAATTCGATAATATATATTACTATTAAAATTCAATAAAATTTAATTTACCATCCTATCAAAAATTTTAATAGTTTAAATTGTTACTATTATTAATTTCTAGGATTACTCGTTTGTCCTATATAAATTCAGGGTCTTCCCTTTATCAATTGTTAGGGCTAAGTGCAATGGAGAAAGACACGTTAGAGGAACTCCCAACTTGTCTGAAAATGAAAAGAAATAAATGAAGTTGAGGTGGTGCACAATAATTGGGCCTGAGGAGGCAGTTGTAAGTTCGATGGATACAAGCGGTGATAGGAGATCTCAGCAATTGAGAGGATGGGACTTGGGAGATGGTGGCTGTTTCCCGGGGACAGACATGAGGCCCCATTGACAATTTGCCATCTGGGTAGCAATAATGACCTAAGATATTCTTTTCAATACAATAAGTTACTAATGCTACCATAACTTAGAGGAGTAAATTATAAATTAATCCCTCTTGTTTTAATTAATTAATCATTTTAGTTTCAAAAATTAATTTTTTAAATAAAAACAGGAACGCTACCCTGAAAATTTTTATTAAATAAAAAAAGAATATAAAAGGAGGGATAATCAAACCGTACCGAAACAAATTGAGGGATATAAAAGCCTAAATCCCTAAAAACAAAAACGTATTTTAAAATCTAATTATTTAGTTATTTTAATCATTTTTTATCGTGATTAATTTAATATTTTTTATTTTATAAAATTTCTTATTTTCTCATTGATATTTTCATATTTTTATTTTAAAAAAATCAAAATAATTGAAAATTAGTAAAAAGGATTAAATAATAAGTTTTTAAACTAGAGGAACTAATTAATTTATTTCTTGAAACGAGAGAGATTAATTTATAATTTACTCTAACTTAGAGGGTAAAAACTTTTTTTTTTTTTAACAATTAGATATTTTTAGATTAGCTTTCTTTCTATATAGTAATACTAGATTAATTTTTTTATTGGAAATTAGGTAGAACATCAAAACTAGACTGATGGATTAAAAAAAAAAAGAAGGTTTTTCGTAGTCTTCTTTTGAATTTGAACAAACATAGCATGGTAATTTGGAAGCAAATCCACCTAATATTTGAACCAAGGATGACAGATGTGCTAACAATTATTTTCTAAAAATTATCTGCCATTGTAATTTGAGATATAAAAAAAAAAAAAATTGAGTGGAAGATTAGGTCATTATGCAACTCAAGACTTGACTAGATGCCTCACCGTTTAATTTTTCTAAAGAAGAACAGTACCATCTGTCAAGCGATTGTCTTTTTCTTCTTTTTCTTCCCTGCAAGATTCAGTGATGGTGGTGGCTGAGTTCCATTCTTTTCAATTTGAAAACGAAGAGGGAACTAATAAGATTCGATTGTGTAAAACAGGGGAAAACGTGGTTTTAAGACCAATTGGAAAACTGAATTATTTTTATAGTAAAGTTTGGTTAGACAACGTTGATGTTTTATTTGGTTTTCTAAACAATTTCCCTCCCTGAAGCCATGACTTGATTTGGATTTTTTTTTAAAGTGAGAGAAAAAGGAAAAAAAAAATGGAAGGAATTGTGTGGATGTGCGTGTTTTTATTGTTTTTTTTTTTAAAAAAAAAAAAAACACAATTTAGAGAAAAGTGATATGATATGAAAAAGAACTTATACAACTTTTTTTGTTATCCAAGACCAAAAGTGAACTTGTTCTGTCTTCCATCTTCGGTGTCAATAGCCCCACCCCCACGTTGAAATGGTTATTGATGTTGCATTCAAATTCCCTTTTATTCTACCATCAACTTTCTAGTTTTACTTCGGTTTTAATCGTTATAATATTCTCAAATTATTTTTCACAAATCAAATCAAATTTAGGTTTAAATATATAAAATTGTAGAATATATTAGCTTTTTTACTCGCACTACGTTGCAAGTCGGACAAAATATATAAAATTATTTTATTTAGATGTCATGTGTTATATTATGCATCTATCAAAATATATCAAATTAAAACTGAATAAAAATTCATTCAATTTTATCATTTTAATCAAAATTTTGTATTTGACTGATTATTCTTTATATTTTAATAATTTTTTTATTAAACAAACATTATTTATTTAGCTATATCCACATTTTTAGCTAAAAACATATTTTGTAGATTGTTTTTTCTAAACATCTTTTTGTCTTAATTTTTTTGTTAAAAAATCAAAGGAAAAAAAAGTAAGGACTAAAGTTATCAAAATGAAACAAAAAAGTAAAACTAAAATCAAATAAAAAAATATTTACAGACTAAAAAATTAATATTTAAAAAAAAGGATTAAAGTATAATGTCACAAAAAACTTTCATAATAAATGTCTTAAAATATTTGAAAACTATAAAAATATCATCACATAGTAAATGAAATAGTATATCTAAATCTGGAATAATATACATGAATATGATTGGGTTTGGAATAGTGCATTAATATGTTTTGGTTTAGTTTTTTTTTTAATTATTTATTTAAATAATGCGCTATGATTCAACTAATATTAATATTTTTTGTGGTCGAGAAATCTTGAATTCAAATAGAAGAAAAAAATTACCAACCATTCGAGTTGATAGGAAGGTGAAGAAAAAGTCTATTGAATCAATCATTCAAATAATTTATATGAATTCATATTTTGTGATCGGCTAGTGGGTGGTAAAGGGCATTCAGATAAGGTAATCATTTATGCAGTGATGACTTATTAATTGGTAATTAGCAGTGCAGCGCCGATTTCGAAAGCGGCCTTAAAGCTATTCTGATTTACATTTTTAATCAACTAAACTAAATTATAGAATAAGTGCCAAAAATTAACCCAATATTTTTTTAAAGAAAGGGAACATTATTGAATTTGTTGTTGGTCCAATGTTTTTTTATTATGATCGAATGGTTAGGATTGAATCAAAGGAGGGAAAGTTGCAAGAAATTTAAGCATTTCTCTTGAATAAAGAAAAGACTAATGCCTCCAGTCTCTTTGTACTGTGGTTCTTGATCTGTCCTCTCTGTACTGTGGTTCTTGGCCTTCACAGTATCACTTTCCTACCTCTTATATAAGTCTCTGGCTTGTCCTAGTTCTTCGACATTAATTCAGCCAAATCTCTCTCTCTCTATGCCACTGAGCAATGAAAATGCAAAATCTCTCTGCAAAAGTTGCACTTTCAAAGTTTTGAAAGGAACAACTCATGCTTTCAGTTTTCCTGAAAGAAGGGATCTTAGAGTCAGTCAAATGTTTTCTCACAAGATTGATTCTTGAAGGGTTCTTTAGTTTTCTTTTTTCTTTTTCGCAGTAGATAGTACTATTTTGCTATCACCTCCGCCAAGATTTTTGATGAACTGCAGGGGTTTAGGTAAATAAGGTCTCAAATTTCAACAACTTGGTACCTTTATGTCTTCCAAATTGATCTAGCTGTTTTGGATATTGCTCTTTCTTGACTCTTATCTGTTATATTAAATAGCATTAAGTTTGGTTTTTAGTGCTCCCTTAGGTCTCTTAGTTTTCTTCAAAGTCTTGAAGTTTTTGGAAAGGCATAGTAGTTGTATGGCATTTTGCTGAAAGTTTAGTTATTTCTTTCTTGATCGTTTCTCTTTTTTCACTTCTTTCTGTTCTAGGAGTTCTCATATTTCTGCACAACAATGGCCAATTTCTTTGAGATTTCTTCTTTCAAAACAAGCAAATTTGAGACGGTAATTTGGGCTGTGAAGTTGGTGCTTCTCACTGTAGGGATCATTTCCACTTTTATTTTGTTCAAAGTGGCTGTAATTCCTTACACATTTAATCTAATTCTCTCAACTCTTCCTAGCGTATGGATCTCCCTCCGTGCCTGGTCATCGCCACCCTATATCTACATCATCCTCAACTTCATCATAATCATCATTGCTGCTTCCTCCACATCTGAACACCCAAACCCCAGCACCAAATCATCCTATTTTGTTACTAAGAAACACAAAAGCCAAAAGAAAAGTAGCACCCAGCATCTTAATTATATCTGGCAAGAGCATGGCATAGACGAAGAGGAAAAACAATTGGATACAACTTTGTCCTTTGAGAAAGACATAGATCCATCTCAGGATTATGGCTCTCTTGACACTTTCTCGACAGATCCTGACAAAGAACTGCAACAAAAGGTGAGAACAGACCCATCTCAGGATTCTTGCTTGACAGACTCTGCTAAAGAACAGCAAGAGAAGATCATCATTGGCACAGAGCCACTGCAACCAGAGGCAGATCAGCAGGAAACCCTGGAGGACACATGGACATTAATCATGGAGAAGCAAGGGAAGCCACCAACAAGGCAGTTAAAGAAGAGTGGCACGTGGGACACACCTCCAAAGGTGCTGCAAAAAGCTAATGGGGTGATTACCGTTGCTGATGGCGGTGGCGTCGATGACAATGATCCGGTTACTTGGGCTAGAAGAGAACTGAAGAAATCAGATACGTTCAACGATTCTGTTACCTTGAAAAGGGAGAAATCAATGAGTCATGACGAGTTGAATCGGCGAGCAGAAGAGTTCATTAGAAAGTTTAATTACGAGATGAGGCTTCAAAGGCAGGAATCTGAACAGCGTGTCAGGGAAATGGTTCGTGGTGGGGTCTGGTAGTTTGGTTTTCTTTTATTGGTAGTTAATTAGTATGCTAAATGCTGATGAGGCAGATTAAGGAACGAAAAGTTTCTGCTTCCATGTTTCTCTTTTGGAGGTAATTGCCGTCTCGTTTTGTACTTACGTTGTTAATACCGTTGTAAATATTAGAAATACCGGTCATCTGTAGAACATCTATATCATCTATATCCGATATGGGTGTTCAGTATCCGAAATGGGTGACATCGGCTGTCCTTTGAAAATTTCTTCTATTTTTCATGGCTTTGTCGTGTTGTCTTGGTCGGTTGATTGATGGGGGTGTTAAAGAGTGATCGAATGTCATCTGTCATTGGACAGTTTATGTGTAGAGTGTCATTCCTCCAGGGAAGCAATGTGTGGTCACTGTAATAAAGAGTCCTTATCAATCATTGCTAGCAAAATAATGGAAAGGTTTATGCCTATATTGCAGAGGTCACGCCTGTGCTTCAAACATATTGCAGAATCTTTCTATTAGTTAATTTTGTGGTTTGTGTTTCTTGTGATTTGTCTTTTACAATGGAGCTCCATTTTTTTCTGGGGTAGAATAGACAAAGCATCGTTCAGTCCTTCGGATATTATGTCACTTCCGCCTACTTGGGTCCAAAACAAGCTTTCGCTTTTATCATTTTCCAGAAGCATGGCCTGATGATCAGTGCTCTTCTGTAAAACACAAAGTTATCGAGCTAGAGTCTAGACCCTAAAAAGTTATGCACGTTTTATTTAGCTCCTTTGTAAAAGCGTGTGAATGAGCAGTCATCTTATCTGTAATTAGTCTATTGTCAATTGTCATGTATTAAAAAACCCTACTTTCCTTTTTTATTGCAGATAATGGGTGAAGCTGGAGGTCGGTTTAAGAAGAGTGGTTTTTTCTCTGCTTCTTTTTCAGAAGGAAGAGCCAGAAATGCTGTATTTTGTGAAATATTAGATGTTTTTTTTTTTTTTTTGGGGACTATGTTGAGTTTGTTTAATTATGTATGGTTTGTAAACATGTTCTCTTTTTTTTATGGTAAATGGATAATAAAGTTTATGAGTGATATCCAAAAGTAATGGATTTTTCTGTTGCAAGAAAAAAAAAAAAATATATATATATATATATATATATATATATATATATATATATTATTTTATTATTATTATTATTATTATTATTTATTCTTGGTTATTAGAGTCTGAGGTATGGTCTCGTGCATCAAAGATTAGTCCTTCCTTGGTAAAGACCATTCCCGTTTAAATTAATGCATTTACATTAAAATTTATTTAAAAAGAATAACGGACCGAGATTTGAATTATATATTATTTTTCTTTGTCCTAAAATGTTTATCTGTTTAAAATTTTAAATAGTGGATTTTTAAAAAAATACCTTTGATTAATATTGGTTTTGTATCATATAGGATTAAATGTGATGAATAATAATTTTTAAAAAAAGTATTTTAAGAAAATATAAATAAAAGATATCGATATAACATAATAATTAATAACTTTCTTAATTTGTGCAGTGAAATATAAAATAGGACAATCTCCTTATAATAAAAAGAATGGAAGAATAAAAATAATATTAAAATAAATATATTCTCACTTATTTTTTCTTAAATCATAATAACTTGCAAAATTGAGTGATCTGGAATTTGATGGCTATATTTTAAGAATTACCTAGTGGGTTGATTTTGTTTGAAAATTTGATGACTAATGTAATGACTAATGGTTTATTTTTTAAAGGCATTTTAAGAAAAAATATATAAAAAATTACTGATATGACATAATCATCATTAATCTTCTTAATTTGTAAAATAAAAGGTAAAAAGTAAAATGGGGCAATTTTTTTTTAGGATAAAAGGAATATAAGAATAAATAAAATAATGAAATAAATACATTTTCACTTTAAAAAGAAAATCATAACAACTTGCAAAATATTTTCACCTTTTCTAACTTACTCATAATAACTTGCAAAATGGAATGATTTGGGATTGGATGGCAATATTTTAAAAACTACATAGTGGATTGATTTTGTTTGGAAATCTGCTCAAACAGACCATTGTTTTTGTGGTCAGGGGTCTAACTAATTATGATTACGAGGCCTCTTGCAGATCTCATTATGAATTTTGCCCAAGCGGCTCCTTCGAGATTCAACCTCAATCATTGCAAAAGCACTTCATGCCCTGCTCCATCATGCATATGACAGATGCAGAAATTTCTGCGAAAAAAATATTGGTCCAGCTGAAATATTGGTCTAGATCCTTATTATGAGAATTGAGGCTAAATGGATTAAACAGTTCTTAAACTTTTAATTTGGGATTTGATAATCTTTGAATTTTTTTTCCTTCAAAATTTAGTTTTTTTTTTTTTTATCAAAAATAACGATAACATAAATAGTCTTGTAATAAAAATTATTTAGTAAGATTTACCTATATATTTTTTTAAAAAAAACTAAGATGATTTTGGATTATTTTTAAATTTTATACATTTTTTCATATTTAAAAATAAAATAAAAATTTTACATTAAAAAATTCTAAAATTTTTTCAAAAAAATAAATTGAATTTTTTCCAATATATATGCAAAACTTCATGTTAAAATAACAAAAATTAAATTTTTTTAAAGTCAGAAATAATATATGAAAACCATAGAATAAACTAAATCTATAAAAACCATAAAAAGTCAAACCCGTAATTAGAAGTTTAAAATTCATTTTAAAATGAAGTAAATTTCAAAGGAGGTTTGACCCATTTAGCCGACAACTTATTATAACTATTTTTCAGTGCTGCATTAGTCTGGAGGAGTGGAGAGATGCACTCCTAAAATTTCTTGAAGTTTAGGAAAGTGATTTTCCACCACTTTTCCAACTTTTTAGTTGTTGAAAATTCCTTTCATTAATCTATCTTTATAATCTAATAGATTACACTTCCTAGAATTTATGGATTTCTTTCTTATTTGTTTTAGAAATACCTAATCTTCATTTTTTTTTTTTTTCATAATTCATTGTATTCTACACTCAGAAAAAGGACAGTGATGGCATAGATCCATACCCGGATGATAAAGCCTAATTAGGAGAACGAGACGATGAAATTGGAATGTGGACCTAACATCAGATTGAAGGGCTTACAAGGTAATATATAATTATTAAGGTAAACGTAAGAATAATCTTTAGTCAAATTATATGAAATTTTATCTTTTATTTTTAATTTAGTATATTTTAATATGTAGTTAATTCTACTTATAACGTAGTGTGAAAAACTGATTAATTGCAAAAAAAACTAAAGTAAATCGTATAGTTACTATTCTTTATATTATTTGAAATACCGTTTATTCATATTTATTCGCATTATTCATCCGGACTCGGATGTATTATTTTTTTCACTGTGCATTGATATTTTTGTAGTTTTTAAATATTTTTAAGACATTTATTATGAAAGTTTTTGTGACATTACACTTTCGTTCTTCTTTTTTAAATATTGTTTTTTTAGTTCGTAGATTTTTTTTTCATTTTTGTCACTTTGATTCTTTTCTTTCTCTGATTTTTTTAATAAAAAATTTTAAGGCAAAAAATAGTTAAAAAATAATTTACAAAATAAAGTTTTTAGCTAAGAATCCATTGATTTTGATTTTTTTATACTATTATAAATTTTTTAGTTTGTGGATAAAGATAAATAAATAATGTTTTCTAATAAAAAATTTATGAAAAATATAAAAAATAACCAGATCAAATACAAAATTTTGATTAAAAAATTAAAAATTAAATGAATTCAATTTTGATTTGATATATTTTAGTACATGCACAATATAATTAACACAAAACATTAAACTAAAATAAATTTTAAAAAATAATTTTATGTGTTCTACTTGATCCGTAGCATAGTGCGGATAAAAAAAAACTAGTATACTCTAATTATTAATGTAAACAAAATGATAATCTTTGGTCAGATTAATGTCTTAGATCCAAAAATTATTAGAGAGATTTGAGGCTCTAATCTTTTCATGCCAACTTTTTCAGTTTTTGGAAAAGAATATCTCACAATTAAGTTCCTATGCAAATTTTCCATCCATGGAGGCAATGTAACTTCTAAAAGTAATTAATTACACTTCCTAAAATGTTTTTCTTTGTTTTCCATTCTAAAAAAGTCTATTATCTATTGAATGTTTTACTCAAAAACTCACATTTGCACAAATCATCCAAACTTGTGTAATCTCTTCATGAAATAGCATATCCTCATATAAGCCAAACTCTTTTTTCTAGAAAATGAAACAACTGAGAAAGCAAACAGTTATCCTCCTTTCATATTCCATTAAACGTAAGCCTAACACATGTGCCTTCCATAGTCACCCCTAGCATTTGACACCGAGTTGTAGAACTTCTCACCTTCAGGTAATTAATGTTCATATCTTATAATGTTTTTGTATCTTTCATGTTTCAAACAGTATATCAATTGTTATAATTTCTCTTATCTGCATAGTTGATTTATGAACAAGTGCACAACTAGTCGGATTCCTTATACTAGAGCAGATGTTTATTTCTACAAAGTTCTTAACATAGTTGTCCATGTCTAACTGCGCTAGAAGTTATTTTCCCCAATCAGAGAATGTTTGGAAGGGAGAGGAAATTGACAGAGAAAGCTAGGAAAAGTTGTCCTTGTTTCAAGAAAATTTATACAGTTGAAATGAGTCATAAAATTCCCATCTTTTGGATTGAAAATATTTTGTTCCACTTCATAAGTTCGATTAGATTCACCAAACCGGTCCTCTGTCTAACTCCAAACCTAGTTAGGCGAGAAGAAAAGATTGAACAATTAATGTTGACTGATTGTAAGGAAAGTTTTCTTCAAATGCTTGAATATTCTCTTGTAATGGCAGGATTTGAAAGCAAACTATAATTTCTGAGATCCTGTTTCCATAAAGATTTAACATTTATATCAGTCTGCTTTGATGTTTTGAATTAAAGCATTGATTTCAAAGGATTTCAAGAATTATAGAATGCCAAACATGAGTAATTCAACATCTGCATGTGATAAAATTAGCGAGCTACCGAGCAATGTAATGGAGGACATCCTAAAGCGCTTACCGCAGAAGGAAGCAATGAGAACGAGCATCTTGTCAACCAAATGGAGATATAAATGGTTAACAGTACCACAGCTTGTATTCGAGTATCCTTGCAGATACAAGTTAGAAACGTCAGAAAGGGGAAAGCTAGTGATAGCTGTTTACCAAGCTTTACTACTTCACCGTGGACCTCTAGTTAAGTTCAGTTTCTCAGTTTCTGATTTAGAGAGCTGTTCTGATATCAATCACTGGCTACATTTCCTATCAGCGAATGATATCGAAGATTTCACCCTTCGTATCTGGACAGGCAAGTGCTATAAGCTGCCGGGTCATCTGTATTCCTTTCAACAGCTGAGGCATTTAAATCTTTACAATTGTGCGTTTAAGCCTCCATCTTCGTTCAAAGGATTCGACAGTCTTATTAGCCTGGAGTTTCGAAAAGTGCTCTTTGCAGCTGAGAGGTTTGGTATTTTCATCTCTAATTGCCCGTTATTGGAACGAATGACATTGGAAGGTTGCCCTCATTTCTATTGCCTCAGAATCAGTGCTCCTAATCTCAAATATTTATCTTTTAGTGGAACTTTCGATTCTATTAATTTGAAAAATGCTCCTCTTCTCAAAGCTGTCTCAATTTCTATGAATGGAATGCCTGAAAATGCAAGATACTTCAAGGACAGGAAAGTATCTAACTTGATTGAGATTGTATCTAGTGTACCTGCAGTTGAGAACCTGTCTGTAGAGCAGCAATTTTTTAAGGTAATCAACTGATGCTTTATGTAACTTCTTCGTTTCGTACATCTTACCATGCCTCTTATATCCTACTGTCTTGCATTTTGCCCAAGTTTTTGGCTGTAGGCAGTGTACAGAACCGACTTCCTAAATCCTTAGAACATCTCAGAAATCTTCATTTATCTCATATCTGTTTCGAAAAGATAGAAGAAGTTTCATGTGCTCTATGCTTGATCAGAAGCTCCCCAAACTTACAAAAACTTACAATCAGGGTGAGTTACAACAACAACAAGTCCTTTTTTTTGTTTTTAACATTTTAAGGCAAGAGTATGTAATGTTGGATCATGTATGTTCTTTCTAGGCAAACACCAAGACCAATGCTGTCATGGAACCTGCTTTAGAATATATGAGAGTTCAGGACTTCTCAGATTGCTCATTGAACCGACTTCGAGAAGTAAAGATGCAACTTATCTCTGGTGTGCAGCCGGAATTGGAATTCATGAAGTTTTTGCTAGCTGAATCAACCATGCTTGAAAAAATGGAAATCTTGCCTACCAAAGAGAAGAGCATTAATGGTGGTTTTCAAATATTGAGAGAGCTGATACGGTTTCGACGAGCTTCAGCAAAAGCTGAAATTATATACTTAGAACCTGATCTCGATGGATTCCCATTTTAGACTTTACTGTTGTATAATTTTTGGTCTTTAGGTTCTTTCTGTTGTTTAATCTGTTGACGACATCAATATGGACTTCCAATGAAGTCTAGTGGTCTCTTTCTCCAGCAGAATTAAGCAAACAATCCATTAAGATTTTCAAAACCTTTTTAATCTTGTTAATTTTTAGATCAAATTAATGATGAACTGATATGTTGAAGCTGAAAGCTCAAAATTCAATGTTAAATGGAAGCAATTGCTTACGGGTTGGGATCCTTTGGTCTATCAGGTTTCTTCGAAGTTCAAACTTCATAGTAAGAAAGAGATTGTTATTTATTGAAACAAATGAGTCCAGACTCATAACATAAAAAATAGTTAAACGTCATTTGATCAGTGTTGACAGTGGTTAATTAGTTTTTTATTTAAAAGACGCCTTATTTTCTCATCTAATCTTCCCATCTTATGTGGTTCTTTATTTTATTTTTCTCTTCTTTAAGAAAAGAAAAACAGAGTAAATTTGGAAAACAATAAACGAAAAGAATTGACAAGTTTGTTAAACTACGAAGAATTAATTAATTAATTTTATTAAATTACAGGGACTAATTTATAATTAACTAAGGTTGTAAATCATAACAAGAATTATTATTATTATCATTTACTGGTTTTGATGTTTGAAGGGCAAATTTTGGAGTGAGCATTCGGGTAGAAAAATTGACATAAAGCATGCGGCTGACGGCATAGCATCAGGTGCGCCACTTTTGGTGGGCAGCAATTGGGTTTGGTCATGGAGCATTGAAAATGCGTGGACACTAATTAAAGTGTTTAATAGTAACCTTATATTCTCCCCCAAAAACAAAAAGAAGAAGAAGAAGAAGTTACAGAGATACATAAAGAAAAAGAGTACACTTTATCATTTTGATGGCCTGTTTTGCAGTAAAGTATAAATTAATCTCTTTAGTTTTGAAAAATGATTTAATTTATTTTTAAAATCTTTATATTTTTAAATTTTCTTATAACTTAGTCATTTTTTTTTAATTTATTTTGATTTTTAAAAAAAATAGAAAAAAAGAGTAAAAAATACGAGAGGATTGATGAAAAAAGATGATGCTTTATAAATAAAATAATAATAAATTATTTTGTTCAATACAAAATAAAAAAAACTAAATAATTAATTTTTAAAATAGAAAAAAGCTAATTAATTTTCTTTTTTTTTTGAAAACAGAAGGATTAATTTATGATTTATTTCTCGTGGTTTTCCATCTCCACTCTCCCCAATGTATGCACATAGATATTTGTCACTGAACAGTAGTTCAACTGATATTTCAACTGTATTAATGTCCTCTTTTTTTTTAGAGAGGTTTTAAAGAGGTCTCGAACCTCTCTAAAAAAGGAAAAAAATTGCAGGCGGTGGCATGCCTTCTACCTTGCCTGCTCATCGCATTGTTTCTTTCATTTTGCATGCCACCGCCATATTTTTTTTCCCTATCTTCCAATATTCCTCTATATTAATTACAAATTTTGCTTGAATTTTGTAGAACTAAAAGAATCCTTTCAAGTACTAAATACTTGGATCTTTGTAGAATGAAGAGCGGTTGGGCTGGAGATACAGTCGAAGGAGTTTGGTGGTGTCAACAATATTTATGGATTTCATACGAGCTGATCCCTTTATTGACTTCCATCCTTCAAGCAAAGAGCTAAGCAGAGACATCACTAGACACAATCACTCGTCATCTAAAACAAGGTTATATATATATATATATATTGAGAATTTATTTCTTCAGATGTTTGATTAATTCTCATGTATTGGAATGATACATGAAAACCCTTTTTTATATAGAGATTCTGACATTTACACAATCAATTTGCTTTGACACTTTTAATTAACACCCTGCTGATTTCACAGGATTTCAGGAATTCATAGAATGACAACTATGCCTGGTTCCACATCTGCCTGCGATACGATCAACCAGTTACCAAGCAATGTGATGGAGAACATCCTAATGCGCTTGCCCCAGAAGGATGCAATAAGAACGAGCATATTGTCAAGCAAATGGAGATATAAATGGTTAGCTCTGCCACAGCTTGTATTCGACTGTCCTCGCGACTACAAGTTAGACGTTTCAGAACGAATCAAGCTTGCGTTCGCTGTTTACCAAGCTTTGCTACTTCATCGTGGACCTCTATTTAGGTTCAGTTTCTCAGTTTCTGAGTTGGAGAACTGTTCTGATATCAATCACTGGCTACATTTCCTATCAGAGAATGATATCGAAGATTTCACCTTTCGTGTCTGGACAGGCGAGCACTATAAACTGCCGTGTCATCTGTATTCCTTTCAGCAACTGAGGCATTTAAATCTTTATAATTGTGCGTTCAAGCCTCCATCTACGTTCAAAGGATTCGACAGGCTAGTTAGTCTTGAGTTTCGGAAAGTGCTCTTTGCAGCTGAGAGGTTCGGTATTTTCATATCTAATTGCCCGTTATTGGAAAGAATGGCATTAGAAGGTTGCCCCCATTTCTATTGCCTCAGAATCAGTGCACCTAATCTCAAGTGTTTATCCTTTTGTCGGACTTTCGATTCTATTAATTTGAAAAATACTCCTCTTCTTGAAAATCTGTCGATTTCTATGAATGGAATCCCTGAAACTGCGAAATACTTGAGGGACAGGAAAACTTCTAACTTGATTGAGATTGTGTCTAGCGTACCTGCAGTTGAGAAGCTGTCTGCAGAGCAGCATTTTCTTAAGGTAACCAACTCTGATGCTTCTCGTAATTTCTTCGCTTCGTATGTCTTACTTATTCTTACAATTCATTATGCTATGCCTCATATATCCTTTTATCTTGCTTTTTTCTCGAAGTTTTTGGCTCTAGGAAGTGTACAGAACAGGCTTCCTAAAACCTTAGAACATCTCAGAATTCTTCATTTATCTGGTATCTGTTTCGAAAAGATAGAAGAAGCTTCATGTGCTCTATGCTTGATCAGAAGCTCCCCCAACTTATATAAACTAACGATCAGTGTGAGTGGAAATAACACTAAAACACCTTTTTCCCTCTTGTCCTGTTACATTTAAAGGCGTACAAAAGAGTATGTGTTGTATGTTCTTTACAGGCAAACACCAAGACCGAGGCCGCCATGGAACCTGTTTTGGAATATATGAGAGTTCAGGACTTCTCAGATTGCTCACTGAACCGACTTCGAGAAGTAAAGATGCAACTCATCTCAGGTGTGCAGTCAGAATTGGAGTTCATGAAGCTTTTGCTAGCTAAATCCACCATGCTTGAAAAACTGGAAATCTTACCCACCAAAGAGAACAGCACTAATGGTGGATTTCAAATATTGAGAGAATTGATACGGTTTCGACGAGCTTCAGCAAAAGCTGAAATCATATACCTAGACCCTGACCTAGATGGATTCTCATTTTAGACTCTACAGTTCTGCCATTTCTGGTGCCGGGGGTTCTTTCTTGACAAATGAAGTCTTGTGGTTTTTTTCTTTAAGGAAAATAAAGCAAACAAGTCGATTAGATTTTCAGAAACATTTTTAATCTTGTTAAATTTAAGAACATATTAATTAATGAGGAAGTGATAGAAAGTTAATGATGAAAACAAGAAAGAATTCATGTACTATCATTATGCTTCAGCTAGAAGCTCAAACCATGTTAATGGGCTAATCTGTTGCATTTTGGAGGTGTTCTCTTGTTTGTTTGTTTTGAAAGTTTTGAAAGTGAAGACAGCGTAATTAAGCCAAAATATCTGGAAATTAAACAAATTAACAATGTGGTCACATCGCTAAGATTTGCTTATATTCGGTTGGACAACCTTCGCTCTCCACCCAAATTTAATAAGGATAAATACTTCGATTTGTCCTTAAATAATGTTTTGAATCTCTTATAGGTTTCTAATTGCATCTCATTTGTTTTTGAAATTTTTTGAAATATTCAGTTTATCAATCGGATTAATCTTTTGGATCATCAAAAAAATTTGATCGAAATACCTCTTACTATAAAGGAATTTTAAGACTTCAAAAATTAAACTATTTACCCATTTAATAATTCAAAAAATGTGGATTATATATATGATTTTCTCATTAGTTGCCAAGTAGCTAATTGCATAAACTTGTAATTAGTAGTTCTAGTGTTATGTTTGGTGTAATTTTTGTAAATTGATTTGAGTTATTTTTTATTTTTTTGACATAAAAATAAGTTGTAAGTATACTAAGGATGGCAATGGGGCGAGGCGAGGATGGGGATGGCGATCCCCGTCCCCGTCCCACCCCTAAAAAATTTTTTCCATCCGCGCCCGTGCCCCGAACGGAACAAAATTTCCTCGCCTCAAACGAAGCAAAATTTTTTTTTTAATTTTCGTCTCATTTTATCCAATTTTACTATCAAATTTTAAATCATAGCAAAAAATAATAATAATTTATGTAGAAAATAAACCCTAAAAGTCATTAATTATAGATTTTATATGGGATATAATTATAATTTTGACTTAATCGAAAATCCTATCCCCGCCCTGTCCCCACTTGCGGGCGCCTCGCCCGCTCGCTCTTTTCCTCGATCAACGTAAGGAATCCTCGTGTTGATCGAGAAAAATTGACACGGGATGAGACGGAGCAAATTGACATCTCTAAAATATACTTGATTACAAATGACATTTACTTAAATCGAAGTTTGTTACAAAATTGAGTCAAAATTTTGACTTAATCGAAAATCAAAAGTTTTAATTTTTAGTACATAGATTATATCTTATACCACATTCATTTTTTAAAAAAGGTTGCTTTTAGTCATTTGTACCATACATATTTTTAGCTTAAATTTATTTTAACTTATTTTTTTCTAAAAAACAACTTTTTAACTATGACTTAAAATAAAAAAATTATAATTTAAAAATTATGTCAAACAAACTTTTAATCAAATGTCTTCAAACTTCATAGTAAGAGAGATTTTAAAATAATGTGACTTTATTTTATATTGCTTTAAACTTACAAGTAAAATTATCACCAACGTAGTAATGATGTAATTCTTTTTTTTTTTTTTTTGGATGGTCAATTTAGGATATTAAAACTAATTTTCATCCCGGATGATTTTTAAGCTAATTAAATTTTAGATACTTGTTTTCTGACAACAAAAAATAACCAGCACAATTTTCATCCTGAATGGTTTTTTTATCCCTTGCTGATCGGTTTTTTTTTTTTTAATTATATTATTGAAAATAAAAACAAGGACTGGTCTGTTAATTTTTTATAATAATTAAGAGCAACGAGGAAAATTGGGGGACTATTGCGGCACCTCGAAATATCACACTCACACTGCACTTTCTGTCACTTTCCTCCGATTCTCTCCTCCTCTCATCCCCAAAAGCAAGCACTCACTCCCTCACTCACTCGTTCTCTGCTACAGATCTAATTATTTCAAATCGCGTAAAAGAAACGCAAGAAATCAAGAAACTTCGCGTTGAGCCATGGAAACGACGCCGTCTGAGTCATGTTCTACGCCATTAACAACAGTGTCAAAGAAGAAGAAGCAAGGATTGGGATGGATAGAATGGCTAAGAGGATGGATGTACATAATATACGAGATGTTATTCCAGCGAATCATGGCCAGTCACTTACAAAATCCTCTCTCTTTACCTCCTATCAACAATCTCACTTGCATTGTCACCGGATCCACCAGCGGCATCGGTCTCCAAGTTGCCAGGCAATTGGCGGAATCCGGAGCTCATGTTGTTATGGCGGTTAGGAATACGAAAGCAGCTCATGATTTGATTCATAAATGGCAGTCTGAATGGACTGGCCTTGGCCTTCCTCTTAATATCGAGGTGGGTAGGCACTAGCACCGTGTCTGTTTCGTCTCAGCTACCTGTGTATTTTCTGTTAGGGATTAATTAATGTTGTGGTGATTGGTGAAGGTGATGGAGCTTGATCTTTTGTCTTTGGAATCTGTTGTGAGGTTTGCTGAAGCTTGGAATGCCCGAATGGGACCTTTGCATGTTCTTATTAATAATGCTGGAATGTTTTCAATTCGAGGTTGGTTTTTTTTTTTTTTTTTTTTACACTATTTTGCTTATATGTAATGCTGCTGCTTATGCATTCTTTGATATTTTATGTTTTTCATTTCTCAATTATGCTCATTAGATTTCTTTCCTTTAAGCATTTATGAGTCCTTGTAAATCCTATGGTTGTATTGGTCAAAGCTGAGGAGTGAGAGGTAGTATAGAAGTAGAGTAATAGAGAAGGAGATAGGGAAAGTGGGGAATTCTTTAAATTGTGAAATCTTGGTTGGTTATATTAGCTGATATAGTTCATGAACTAATAGGAAGGTTCCTGCAATTCTGCAATGAGAAGCCTTGGTCACAATTAGATGCTAAGTGCCATTTTGGAAATCAAGTCGCATCAGCCAGGGTGATGTTAGTTGGTTAACTATTGTAGCTCATATATCATCCATTTGGTTGTGATATGTCTTTTAGACTAAGCAGTATGACCAACTCCACACGATGAATCCTGTGAACATGGCCTGAGGGTCTCAATAATAAGCTTTTCATGTGACACTATTGGTTCATTGATGCTAACTGTGTGAAAAGGAGAGTAAGCACATGAATCATGTGTTTTTCCATTACCTTGGAGGCTTGTTGTTCATAGCTTGCCATGATTAATTGTGGCTTAGAGGAAGCATGGTTGTTTCACTTGCCGTGATGCATTCATGTCTTCAACTCAACTTTTCTTTTTTACAAATGAGTTGTTTCTTGCAAATGCATAGGCAACATGCTCAAATAAATGACGGATCTGCTGAGAGGTTTGTGCATTAGCATTATGATGGTTGGGATTCTTTAGTTTTTTTAAAAAAAAAAACAAAACAAAAACGAAAAACAAGAAGAATATGTAGTTTTGGGTTCTTTTGAGTTTGAAAGTGAGGTTTGGTGCATAAGAGCTATGGAAAGATAATGTAGGCTTCGATTGTGAAACACTTCTTGGAAGAATTCAACATATTAATGAGAAAATAAACCTGAATAATGTTACAGGGAGGGATGGGTGTTGTTGGAGAAAGCAAGATTTCGTGGTGTTGTCACAATGTTTGTGATCAAAGAAGTGAAAACTTCAAGTTTAGGTCAAATGCTCCTGAAAGTTTTTCATTGTTCTTAAGAATGTTTGGAGAGCATTATTCTAACCTAGGTGGCTTTTTAGTAACAACCACTCAAGGAAGGGAGGCAAAGGAGAAGTGGCCTTTTCTAGCAGAGACCATGGGTATTGATGGACAGAAAACATTGCTCAGCCCAATGTGAACTTTTTGAGGATAGAACTAATTAGAGAGTTTCAATGACATGGTTGATGAGATGTTTCAGGTGTCCTTAGATAGTGGAGTAATCCTGTAAGTATTTTGTATGGACTAACGAGAATGTGCCACACAGGTGTTTCTTTAGATTTTCCTTACTTTCTCACAAGTATAGGTTGGAAAATTATGAGACTATAATTTAAAGGGTTCTATTGACTTGTTCACGAGTCCTTAATCAACCTCCTACGTAGGCAAAGCCTGCATAATCAGCCATGCATTGACAGAAGGGATTGTCCGGAAATAATTGGGATTATGAGTGAAGTGATATTTTACTGTCCCGCTTCAAGGTTTCTGCTTTAGTTTAAGACTCTTCTCAACAAGAGTTGTTTAGCAACTATCTAAGGTGTTGCTAATGGTCTAGTTGCTTCTTGATTGGACAGTTTGGTTAATCTTGACTTTTATGGAGTGCTATCAAGCATTTAACATAAACTAGCACTCGTTTCTATTTCCAGTTATATAAGCTATTTGGATATGCATTTCTTTTACATTTATATACTATTGGACCATAATTAAATAATATGCTTTGACTTTGTTTTATTCAGAACCACAAAAGTTTTCAAAGGATGGGTATGAAGAACACATGCAAGTGAATCATCTGGCCCCAGCATTGCTTTCAATATTGCTTTTGCCATCTCTGATTAGAGGCTCTCCAAGCCGAATAATCAATGTGAATTCAGTTGTAAGTACTATGGTCAGAAAAAGTATATTTTACCCCTTTTTAGCTGCTTTCTCTTTTAATATAGGATCTTACAGATTTATTTAGGAAATTATGAAATAGTGTCAAGCTTCCTTGCTAAATGGTGTAGACTTGTGTGATTGATAAATCCAGAAAAACGAAATCTGATATGCAATTGATAAATCTGGAAAAATAGCTTCTATTCCTGTATCTATTTGTAATCTAAATTTCTGGTCCTGCTATGATATGTCAATGTCCATCATTTGCTTGTGCAATTACCTCGGAGAATAGGAAAATATATTAATATGATTGTGAAAGGATGGTTATTGTGCCCCCTGCGTAACAGTTCTTGTCATCATCATATAACATCTAAATTCCTTTCATACACCGTAACAATCATATGCTTACATTTTTTAGTGGTTTTTAATGTTTTCTCTTGTCTAGATGCATTATGTTGGCTTTGTTGACACAGAAGACATGAATGTTGTTTCTGGGAAGCGAAAGTATACAAGCTTAGTTGGATACACCGGCAGCAAGTTAGCACAGGTATGTTTAGAGTTGATATTTTATACTTCGGACAATTTGGTTCTGGAAAGTGTTATGTTTATTTTGGGTTCTTCCATGCTTGTCTCTAGAAAGTCCCTATTATTTGTGTTACATGAAGTTGCTATATCAAGATAAAATGTACGCCTCTCTCCTCAATCCCATTGGAGTCTTTTTATCCTTTTTGTTTAGAATGATAAAAGAAAGTGTGATGCTGGTATCTATTGAAGTTCCTGTTGTTTTTGAACTGGATTTAGTTTCTGTTAAGTATCCATGTTTCAGCTACTGGATTTGTTTTCTTTTAGGAATGCAAATGAACTGAACTCTTACCACAGTCATGCTTGTTTTGCCTAATTAACCTCGCTTGGTATTGTTTGTTTAAATTGTTAAACAAAGCCTGATTTGAATGTTGGACTTGTCAAAACAAATGAATAAAGGTGTTGTGGGATTCGAAGTTGGCTTCAAATTATGAATCTCATACTAGTAAAGATGTTGTGGGGGTGCTCTATCCAGCTCTGGCTATAAGATGACAATTAAATTATTGGTGCATTTTATAATTAATATGGAAGTTTGATTGTTAAAGACCACAGCTTTTGTTCATATTAGAAAGCATGCTTGTCATGCAAATGGTTGATGTTGAAAGGGGAGAAGTTTAATTAGTTTTTGTTGGAAAATGTGAAATCTGGTATGCTAGGCCCAAATGCCTTAGATTCTTTTGCATGGTAATTAATGCAAATAACTCGACTGGCTCTAGCAACATCAGATTACTCAGCATTATCCCTGCCCCATGTTACTTCACTACATGAAACATGTTGGCCAAAGGACGTCTTTGGACAATTTCTTTGAACATTCATGAATGAATCATAAAACTGGTAGCCTTTGGATTGCAGGTCATGTTTACTAGTGTTCTGCACAAGCGGCTTCCTGCTGAATCTGGCATCAGTGTATTGTGTGTTTCCCCTGGAATTGTCCAAACGAATGTCGTAAGTCTCTTGAATCATTCATTATGACTTTATTATGGAAAAAGATGTACCAACATGCATCTGCATATAGTTACATATACAAGTTTCTTGATGCATATGTTTTCAGTGCAAAGATAGATAATGCAGTAATGTGTATGATTTGTGCTGTTACTGCTATGCAAAGCCTTAAGGAATGACATGATGGAATGTTCCACTGTAAAAAGGGGAGCACCGGGCAAGATTTCTTACCTGCAAAAGTGAAAAAGATCTTAGCAATTAAAGACATTTCCCTTTCAATAAAACCGTCCAAGACAGGTTCTTTTTTTACATGAAAAGAGCATCACCTACCTATTTAGAACATCTTCTGTTGCACATTGGTGGAAAGATGCTGATTCGTAACTTGTTCTGGGTGGTAGCTTGGGATATGTAGCAGACACCTTTTGCTGTTTGTGATGAAATAATGCCGGTCCCAGACAGTTAGTCATTTATGTTTGGGAGGGAAAGTATTGTTAGGCTTTTTGGAAATATATAATGTTTGTAGCTGTTTTGAACATGTGGATGCATATTGGTTGACAAAATCTAGGATAGTACGAATAACTGATGGCAGTGAATAAATGTTATAAATGACACCAGAAGCCAGAACATTTGCATTAGTTACTGAAAATGTGTACTTTTGATGTTAGGCTTTCTGGACGACAACTTGGTCTAGGTTTTAGAATTAAACCCCCAGGTTTCTTGTTAATTTGTTAACTTTTGTTGGTGATTGTTGACAATGTTTTCTATGTCCTAAAGAAATTAACTCTAGTAGGCATGTGTATAGTTTGTGGCCCTAAATTAAATGCAGATCATCATGCAATGATGTGATACAGACCTGCCCTAAATTAAATGCAGATCATCATGCAATGATGTGATACAGACCTTATAAAGTGAATGGACACCGAGCATCTTATTATCTTCCACAGATTAACTGCCATTGAATTCTTTTTCCCTTCGGAACCATCTAATCCCGTTGTTTTACTGATTTTCCACATGATTCATTTCTATTATTTTCCCTTTGAACTAGTGATGACACAAAATATTGACTAAATAGTTATGTTCCCTTTTAACTAGTGTGCCTGTTCTTTGTATTGTTTGAATCTGTTTTACTACTGTTCTTATTCTTGAGTTGTAGACTCGTGATGACACAAAATATTGACTAAATATTTATGTTGAGGAATCTTCCTTTTAAATGCAGTTGTAGAACTCTACCAATGGGGATCTAGCTCCACTAGTACCAATACTTTCCTTTAAGAGGGAAGTTGCAGGAGGGAACCTAAATTCTCAAACACCAAATTAAAGTTGTGGATCTCTTCAGTTGTAGAACATCATTTTTTTTGTTGCACACTTGATGAAACTAAATCATGTAATTGATTTAGCCTTGTATCATCAAAGTAAACATTCTTTCTGGTTACCCCATTGCATCTTACATTCTGCTTTCAACTTTATCTAAATTCAGGCAAGGGATCTTCCCAAAATTGTGCAAGCTGGTTATCACCTTATACCATATTTTATCTTCAATGCCCGAGAAGGTGAGTCTCCCAAATGCTAGCTTGTTCTCAGTTCACAATTCTGTGGGATAATGGTGACACCTTAACTTGCGGTATCTTTGATTTTAACAAGACATTCATCATTCATGGCATATGATATCCTTCCTGTTGTCAATCTGATCCTGGTACATGATATATTGAAGTGCATGGTATTGTTCCTCGCTTGCCTGCTGTTTTCTTTCTCTTTGTTATCTGGTGAATGCCAATGAACTTTTTTAGGAAACTGAAATATGAGAGTTCAAGAGAAGTTGTGCATGCCAATCTACAAGATGCATTCATCTTTGGACAGTTCATATCTATGCTTATATGTTTCAGATGCATGTGACAGGAAGTTTACGAATGAACACATTTTTAGCGAATCAGATACCGTGCATGTTTCTTGCATTCTCAATGTCGGACATGATGGCTTGAATGATGATGATATTTTGGGTAACCTTGCTGATAAAATGATTTGTTTCACAGTAGATCCCCCGACTGGCCATAGGAGATAATTTCTTTGATAAATGCCTTTCTTAGGAACAAGCATTTGTCTCCATCCATAAATAGTCTCCTTGCAAAAGAGCTGAATTCATCTAAGGTTGCTGATCAAACTTGACATGTAGATATCTGTATACTTGTACACTGAATATTATAGAACGGCGCAGAACTTGATTCTAATCACTTGTATAACATCATTACCTTGACCTTGTAAATAATTTTTCCTTTGTTCCAAATTATTCTGATTAAAGACCCCATTTCCTTTCTACACTCACTTCACCAAATTTACTCATCCTTGACTGACTGGATCCATGAATTATGGTCAACAAATAATATCAACTTTGAGTAAGTTGCTCATAAAAGATTTCGATGCTGTAGGAGGATATTTTTCTGTTCCACATGGGCAAGAAGACAAAGACTTAAGAGATGAATACATCCTTATAATCCATAGTTTTTATTGTCGGCAGCTAAATGTCAAGGTTAACGATATCTAATATCAAGTGATTCGAGCTCTTGGTATCTGAAGCTCTTTGGAAATAAGTCTCCTCATAATTCTATTTTTTGTGCAGAAATTGTACATTTAGCAAAGCCATCTAGTTTATCACCGTACATTGAATTTCTGGATGCACAATATAGAGAACTAAGTTGCACCAAAAGATTTCATAGAGAAATGGATTTAACACTATGAGTTGCGATGACAAAAAACATTATCAGTCGATGATTTATGGAGTCGCAACATAATGTATTGTAAAGGAGCCAAAATATGAGTTATTATCTGCTATTATGCTTAACTGGCTTCAAATTTAAGAGGGGAAAAAAAAACAATATTCTTAGGAACTGCTAGCTAACCTCATCTAATTTGCATCCAATTCAGGTTCCAGGAGCACTCTTTTTTCAGCAACTGATCCTCAGATTCCAGAATACTGCGAGTTGTTAAAATCAGATGACTGGCCAGTTTGTGCATTCATTTCTCAAGATTGTCGACCAACAAATCCTTCCGAAGAAGCACACAACATCGACACTTCATATGAAGTATGGGAGAAGACTTTAGAGATGATCGGCCTTCCTTCGGATGCTGTAGAGAAGCTAATGGAAGGGGAAGAAGTTAGGTGCCGTTATGGTGCACGTCAGGAGTAGGCCTTATGTTGCTATCACACGGGAAAGCACTAGTTCTTACCAGGCAGTTAATTTGGAATGCATGTGATAGGAGTATCTTAACATCAATCCTAGAGTTGTAATCATTCCTATATTGGAAGCCAGCCTTTAACATGTTTCGCTGCACCACACTGACTTCTTGAAGTAAATTACAGTTATATCCAGACCTGTATATTTCTAGATAGAGAACCGCAGGAAGGTAATGCATGACCAGATATGTAGGACTTTGTACACTCCTCTCTTTGAGTCTCTCTCACTCTCTTCTTTTTGGGATCTTTCTTCTCGATTTAAGTGGGGCACCATATTGAAACTTAACCTCCTCTTCTTGATTTACTCGGCACTGTGATGTCAGAATGGAAAGTTACCCGATACTGAGGCTGTGAGTGAAAAGGAGAAAAAGGAAGCCCCAAGTGGTAGAGCTTGCAAAAGGTTGTCGCCCTTTCACTCCTTTAGTGAGTTTGAGAGAGACGAAAACCAAAGAGCAAGGCAGCAAAAGCATCACCAACACATGGGAGAATGTACCAGTGTTGAGAAAAGGTAATAGAAGCACTTGCCTCATTTAGTTTTGGGGATGCTTAGCCAAAGAAACGATAGAGGATTCGTTGGGTTTGATGACACGATTTGTCCATGCACTTTTGATTTTTTTACGAATTTTGCTCATCTATAAATTTGTTTTAGGGATTCTATTATAGGATCCATTAAGATTTTATCCTTCGTTCCAAGTTTTTGTTATCCACGTATCAAAGATTTGTGCATCGAGGTACAAGAAAACGAGGAGTCTAGAAATGATTGAGGACAGGTTAAAGAGTATTGATAAAATATATATATATATATATTTAATAGATCCTTAGTTATTTTTATGAGGGATTATTATTATTGTCTTATGAAAGAATTCATAACATTTGTTTTATTTATTTTGAAAAACTCTTCTAGTATTTAAAAGAACTCTTTAACCAAACGGCTGTAAAATTTTTATTCATATCAGTATCATTAATTTCATACATAATGAAAAAAAATTATTTAAAATAAAAGAATTCATAAAAGTAAGAATGCTAATTCTGGTACTGTAACAAAAAATTAGTAGATATCAGGATAAATTATTTACTGACATCATGTACCTTATCTGCCAAATAAATTATGAGGAATAGTTCAATTTTCTGTTCAATATAAAATATTTACTGACATCATGTACTTTATCTATCAAATAAATTATGAGTGATAGATTTTTTTTCCTAAGTGAATTTTTTTTATTCTACGGTAAATGATATATTCGAATCCTTTTACATATCAATCGAAATTAGTTTTTTTTTAAAAAATAATTTAATGGTGTATTGCCTATATTGGCCCGGTACAGTCAAATGAATTTAATACATATTTTTTGGATGCTGACTCTAAAGTTTGAATATAAAAAAATAAAATTCATTTCATAAGCTTTAGAAAAAAAAAAACAGTAGCTAATTTCATTACAGATTACCAAAATTTAAACATTTAATCCAATAAACATTCATATTTTTTCATTTGTAAAAATAATATATATATATACACACACGCTTTGTTGTGCATAATATGGATGTATAAATACGCAGTAAAGAATATTGCTTTTTTATGCTTTCGTATATTCGGAGAAATTTTCATCGTATTTACGTTGAAACCGAAGCTGAGGGTATCTCTACAAGTGAGACTAATAATCAGTAAAGTGCCCCTTTCCAAACCAGTGACGGACTCAAATTAACCCGAACAATCTGCAGCTAACGGTTCAACCAATCCTCGGTTTGATAGTAATAACAGTGAGAAATCAATAGTTGCGGCTAACGGTCCTTGATAGGGCCCCACTAAATAAAGCATATGACAAGCTGCAGCTGGTCAAGACCAGACGAGAGCAGACCAAAAGCGGTGTCACGGCTACAACTCCTAAGTCCCTTGACCCACTAGGCCATTGCCCACTCTCGCTCTACTTGTTAACGAAGTAGTTAAAAATCACTCAAAAGATTGTTAACGAAGCAGTTGACAAAATTAAAAATTAATAAAAACAAAAGAATCTTCTCGAAAGCAACGTCTATTTTTAAATTCAAATCCACCCCCCAAAGTAACTACTTAATTATGAAGTAAAACTAGCTGTACGTTACGCTCATTTATAGATTATAATAATAATGAGTAATTATTTTTTGATTGGACAGCTGATAATTGGGTAAAGCTAGTTAATGACAATAATGCACGTACTCCCACCCGCGTTATGACAAAATTGATGAAGGCTTTTTCTGTAATTTCATTAAAGACCGTACAAGTTCGGTCGCGAGAGGGGGTAACAGGTGTCCTGTGAAGAGAGCGAGTAGGGTGGAAAGGTCGGAGAGTATGAGTATGCGAAAAATGTTTTGTCATTTAGTTGGGGTGCGTGTTTGTCGAAGACGAGTCCTAGCCAATCATGTGATTTTACATTCCTCGTTGCTCTCCCCATTTTTTGTTTTTCCCACTTTATCCATTCCACCGCACTCCAATCCAACTACCAATTTTTAAGCTATTTATTATATTGGTAAACATCTGGTTTTATCTGCAAAATTTGTGGGCTTTGTCGTTGTTATGAATATACGTGTATTTTGTGAAATCAATGAAAAAAATCCGCTAATGAACAGTAAAAAGAAGATTTTTTTTTTTTTTACTGCTAACCAGCTCAAAAGAGTTTGTGAAATTTCTTCAAGATTATTTCATGTGATAATTTATTTAAATATTAATTGAAATATATTTTATTTTGATGTTTCATACATGTTCATGTGTTAATTTATATGCATTCCTAAACATATAATTTCATTGATAAAACTTTTCAGCTTTGTCATTTTTCGTTGATATACATGTGTTTTGTGAAAAGTAGAAAAAAGATTTGTTGACATATATATATGTATGTGTATATGTGTGTGTATATATTTACCTCTAACTAGCTCAAAAGAGTTTATGCAGCGTGTGGTAACTTATTTAAACTTCAATTGAAAGAGAATTTATTTTTAAGTTTTGTGTATATTCACCGTAAACATAAGATTTTATTAAAAAAAACTTTTTGCCTTTGACATTCTTTATTAATGTTCATGCATTTTGTGAAATTAGTAAAAAAATCTGCTGATGAATATTAAAAAGATTTCATTTTGATGTTTCGTGCATATTCATGTGTTAATTTATTTATATTCGTAAAAATGTGATTTTATCAAGAAAACCTTATGACTTTATGATTCTTTAATAATGTACGCGCATTTTGTGAAATCGGCAAACAAACATTTCTCGACGAATATTAAAAAGAAGATTTTTTTCCTTCCTCTAGCTAACTCAAAAGAGTTTGTGCAATTTCTTCTAAATCATTTCGTGTGATAATTAATTTAAACTTTGATTGAAATAGATTTCATTTTGATATTTCATGCATATTCACGTGTTAGTTCATTTATATTCGTAAACATATGATTTTATCGAGAAAACCTTTCAATTTTGTCATTTTTTACTAATGTACATGCATTTTGTGAAATTAGTGAAGAGATCTACTACTGAATATTAAAAAGAAGACTTTTTTTTTTTTTTACCTCTAATTAGTTCAAAAGAATTTGTGTAATTCTTTCTAAATCATTGCTCTAATAATTTATTTTAACTTCGATGATCTATTTAAACTTAATTGATTTTGATGTTTCGTGCATGCTTTTGCTTTGAGTTTTTTCTAGGTCAGCTCATCACAAACTAATTTAATAAAAAAATAATAAATTATAAAATATGCATTTCAATATATAAAAATGAACTAAAATATAGATTTAAAAGTTTAAATTAGCATAAAGGATTGGGTATGTGATTTGTATACTTCATCGTTATGTATTTCAATTTATTTCACAAGCAAAAAAATAAAAAACAATCTTTAAATTTTTTAAGAAAGAATTGATAATTTTTTTTCCATACACATGTAAAAGGAATTCATGATTGTATTTTTTATCATGCATACATGTGAAATCCAATCAAGAAATTTAGTAAGGGTGATCATTCGGTTTTTCGGTTCGATTTCGTTGTTTTTATTTCGGTTAACCGAATTGGCTAAAATAAAACCAAAATCGAATCGAATTGAGGTTCAATTTTTCAGTTAAAAAGCCGAATTTTTTAGTTTGGTTTTTCGGTTTTCGGTTAAAAAATTGATTTTTCTTTTTTTTTTTTGCATTTTTCTTCTAAAAATCGAATTATTTTGCTTTTAAAAAATATCAAACTTGCATAATCAAAGATTACATATTTCACATTTGATTTTATAAGAAAATTATGTATGATTATTATTATTTTTCTATACTAAATTTGTTTCTATTTATACTATAAACTAAATTAGTTGAGCTTCTCATTATTTTTTCAATCACGCTACAATAGGTTTTTTTATTAATTTTTCATATTCTTTTTTTTAATCTACTTATTTTTGTGTATATTTTATTTTGAATAGATAATATTAAAAATCTAATTTTTAATTTACGTTTGTACCAATTTTAATACAAGGAGACAATTTTTTTTCATGAGGTTTTAGGATTCACCCACGATAAAATTGTGTATTTATAAAAAATTACTTTAGCACAATCTTTTATTTATTTATTTATGAGTCAATATAATATAATCAATTATTTTATTATTTCAATAAATAATTAATGAAAAATATTTTTATTTTAAGTAGAAAAAAATCATTAAAGCTATTGTTCTTTTAGTTAAACTCACTTTGATTAAAAAACAAGAGCTTGGGTATGTATTTTTAAAAAATAATAATAATTCGGTTTTCGATGGAAACTGAATTTGAAAAAAGAACCGAAACCGAAATACCTCGGTTTTGGTTTTTTTTTTCAATTTTTTTAAAAATCGAACTAAAATTACTAATCCGGTTCAGTTCGATTTTTTGGTTTTAACCTAACAATGCTCACCCCGAAAATTTAGTAGTAACATCAAAAGAAAAAAATTTCAAAACCAAAAGTAATAAATTTTAAACTCAATACGTATCTTATCGTATAAAATGTCATATTAGCCTAAAACACACACATATATATAAACTCATAATGTCACCAATAAAACTTTATAGCTCCATCATTTTTCTTGAATGTATTTCTACGATGCATTCGTAAAATCTACCAAAAGATATGCATTTTGTGCATTTGAAAGAAAAATACATACATCGAAAGCTATAATAAATCGAAACTCAATGCATCCCTTGCCTGTCTCATACCATGTAAAATAACATACCGATGAATGTTAATCTTTTTTTCTTTCCGAATAAACGTTTCGATTTTCTCCTTATGTATATATGTATAATCTACCGAATGATCTGTACTAAATAAAAAAAGGAAAATACGTACACGAAATAAAACTATAATCCAAAATCAATGCATACCTTCCTTTTCTTATGCGGCATAAAATACCATACCAACTAATATTTCCTAAACTTTTTTTCCTTCTTTTTTCCCCCCAAATTAGCATTTTATACCCACAAAATATCGCTCAATACAGAAAATTGAAAAAGAATCAGTACTTGTTCCTTTTGGTATCCCATAAATAAAA